GCGAGCGCACGGACAGGCGCGGCCGCCGCGGCTCCCGCGGGTCACGCTGGTGTTTAATAGGCCAAAACCGGACAAAACGCTTAGTTGGCCAGGTGCTACTTTTGTTTTGAAATGGAAAAAGCATTCAAGTTTTTTAAGTTTTATGCTGGACTCTTTTAAGTACAACTGTGTAAACGAAAGGTGCCATTCCATTATTTGGTTTAGGACTATAAGCTTTCAAATTGGTAATTGTTAAGCCTTAACAGAATGATTTTTTTTTTTAAGATAGTTTTCTTTAAATCATGTGGGAAAGATCAGTGAGTTTTTTTACATAACGTTATTATAAAAATTAATTATTTGAAAGCAGAAATGTAGAGTTTAAGGTAAGTGTGAAATTACATACACTTTTATATTTGTGATGTGTATCTACTCATCAGAACTTTTCAGCTCTTAATTTCATCTGGCATGGAAGAACAGAAATTATAATTCCTCCGAGCTGAAATTTCTTAGGAAATTTTAGTTTGCTTCTGTTTTTGCCACCAATACACTAAGCTGTTAAAATAAGGTATGGCTAACACTAGGACTTATATATTTGTTGAAAAATGACTCTCTTAAGTATGGATTATATTCAGCACTCTCTGGTCTATCTTGGTATTTCCATTTGTAGCAAAATTGATTTTAAAATAGTTTTGGCAAAATTGTTGGCAAAATTGATTTTAAAATAGTTTTCTATAAAATATCTTCAGGATTCATGTAACTTATAAATTGTCAACTCAGATTAATGAGATATTTAAAATTAACATTATTAAATCTGCAGTTTATAAATATTAATTTAAATAATGATTTCAGTTCCTTATTTGTTTCTGATTAATATTGTTTTGCAAAAAGACCTACTTTTATAGATTCATATTTTAGGAGTACCTTTAATAGCACTTCTTCAGAGAAACAGGTTCTGACTTTATATTTTATCAGCGATCTTCTAAAAAGTACTGTGCTGCATCATAAATAGTGGATTGTGCAAGGAATATATGTATGTTTTTTTTTCCTCAGTGATGTGTTGACTTACCTAATACTTGTGGTAAAGCAGCCCTTGAAGACCAAAAGCCACCGTACTGTGGCCCCTGGCCAGCAATTTTGAATCCCAAGTTTATATTTGGACCATTTAAACCTTTATTCTTTTTAATTTTGGTCCCAGCTGACTTACATAAGTGTAATTTCTGGTGACTTTTATTAGGGCCTTATGTGAATGTCTGGAATGCTTTTGTATCAAAATAAGTAACTCTGCCACTTAGAATTTTGTCACAGTGCCTAAACTGCCTGTCTGCCAAGGTTGCAAGCATACAACATCATTTAGGTTTGAATCAGCACCCAAAAAACAGTTTTTTGGTTTTTAAAGGTGCTTATTCTACTATCTTAACCAAAATGTTAACCCATTGGGTTACAAATCTACTCTTTTGCTAAAATTAAGTAACAAAAATATCTAAAAGATATCCCAACAGTAGTTTTTAATAGATTTTTAAATACACTTATACTTTTTAAATTAAAAATAAATTTTCAACCATTGAAGAGCATCCTTAGGAAATAATACTTTTTGGTTTTATCATAATCTGGTCACAGTCCGTTTGATTTTATCTCACCTGTGATACTTATTGTAGTTAGGGATTTGATTGATGAATTTGGTTCACATGTTTAGCTTCCTTCTCTGTTAAATGATGATGTTGGTTGGGCATAGTCTTCAAGTCCCTTCTAACTCCAAGATCCTATAATACTGTTTTTGTGTATATAACCCTGCAGAGCCACCCACTACATTGGTTCAAACTTCTGATTGTCAACTCTGACTTGCTATTCATGTTAAACTGGTCTACTTGTAGTCAGATCTGATGGGATTGGATCCAGCTTTGGGGAGCCTGTATCCACCTCAGGAACATCTCAATACCTGGCACACACGTACAGATGTGCACACCTGGACAGAGTTTAATTATATTAAGCTTCTGTTAATTTTAACCCCTCTCCTAATACCAGAAAGTGCTGGGTAAATGCCTAACTGCTCTTTGGGTATAGTTAAGCACAGTCCCTAAGATAGTTTTGCATTCAGTTTTGGAATTTGGGTCCAGGTTAGGGATGCTACTGGAGAGCATCCAAACCTTTCTGTGTTTGGGAGGACTGTGGCTAGTTATTTGGGGGCATTCCAGATGAAATGCCCTATGTTGGGTTTTCACCTTTTGATCAAACCTCAGAGAAGACTGATTTGGACTTACTCATCTGGTTTATTTAGAATTAAATTGGTATTGGATAGAGGGTAATCAGATAGCTATTTAATTTGTCAATTGTTAGTTAGCATCTCTGATTGCTGTACAGATGCCTCAAGGCTTTACCTTAAATATTCCTGTGTTTTCTCCTTCCTGGCCATGATGGGTTTTCTTTTTAAAATGCTTAGCACAGTCCCGGACCTCTGTTCACATGTTTGTTTCCATAGCATACCAAAGTTATATTTATGGCTTTTAAGGAAATATAAAGAGAAAATATAGAAAAGGTAGACCACAAATGAATCAACCAATTGACTTTATGGAGGGTTTTGATTATTGCCTCATTTAAGTTTCTGCTCCAAGTAACAGAAATGAACTTGAACTAGTTTTAGGAAAAAGAAAGAAAGGAATTTGATGGGAGCCAAATGCAGACAGACCTTATTAGGGACCAGAGACTGGAAAGCCTGAAACTTGCCCAGTCTCTAGTCTTTGCCTTTCTTTGCTTCATTGTTCTCTATTTGCTGACCACCTTTTCTGCTTTCCTGTTTCATGGTTGAATGTGGCTTCTCAGCAACTCCTGGGTATTTACGTGTCCTTCAGTCTCAAGCACAGAGAGAAACTAAGTCATTTAACCTTGATCCTAAACTCCTGAAAGAATCTGAAAGGCATAGTTGATCTAGGTCAAATGGTTGTTCTAGATTTTCCCTAAGGTCTCTTCTAATTCTAGAGTTCTTTGTAGTATATAGTTACATGGTTTGATTTTACATTATTAAGTTTTTTGTTATGGGGTTATTCTTAAAATATATATTTTTTTCTCTTGACTGCATTGCATGTGTAAAAGAGTGTGATACCTTCAGTGTGATCCCGGGACTGCTATAGAAATGCTGATGAGAAGGCCAGTGGGGAATAAAGTGAGTGCAGCACCACGTTTAGGAATTACAACAGAAGTTGAGATCGGAGTTGTGAAAATCCTGTTTAGTAACAACGGATCCATCCTGCAAGATAACCATCTGCATATTTTCTTGAACTCACCGAATTAAAATGCTAAGTTCAAATAGCTCTTAAGGGTAAATTCATTAAAACTATATGTGATAGAGACATTCTAAATAGTAATAGTTTAGGGACCAAGAGTTCTTTTATTTTCCTGTTTCTCTTACATGTCTAGCATTTTCTGCCTCTTCATTTTCTTTAGACTGTTTCTGCTGCCCGGAATATCTTTCTCTGTTGAAGTCCTTAAAGCCTCTATTGCGTGGTATGTTGTGAAGCTTTCTTCATCTCTTAGAACTTTTCATCTCCTTGTGCTTCTGAGACATTTTGTACCTTGATTAGAACACGATTTTACCATCTTGCATTACAAAGTCCATAGGTATTCATCTTCTTCACTAGACTCTAAGTTCTATTAGACCAGTGAACCATCTAGAAGAATATTGATAAGTTTTCAGCATCCAACGTCTCAGGTAAAATGATTCCAGCTTTTTCAAATGTTTTGAAGCTTTTATGGCATCCTGCTTGTTACTGCCTTCTTTTTTTGACATTGGAGCTCAGTCACACTACTCTTTTTTCTTGGTGCTTGTCTATTTTCTAGATTTTACAGGCTTTTCCATTGATATTCTTTTGTATAGTTACCAATAAGTTTATTCAAAAGAAAGTTTCATATATGTGAACATCCTAATTTCCCTTGTGAGGATAAAATATATAGAACGATAGCATGTTTTTCTGTAAGTTTTCTGCATGGAGAAGGAGAGTATAGCAGACTCATGTGGAAGAAAATCAACTTTTGTCGAGCATCCAGTATTTACAAGATCTTGTAGAGAGGGCAGGTGTAGAAAACAAATTGAAGCACATATGAAGGGAAATAGTATGACTAGAAAGTTTATAGATGGAAAATTTGGTTTGACCTAGACATGGATGACCTTTAATGCTAGGCTAGGAAATTTGGGCTGGATTAGTAAGTTATGAGATAGTTTTTTTAGGTCCTTGAAATGTCATAATCAGAGTGGAATTGTAGGATATATTATTTAATAATTCAGAGGATGAATTGAATTGAGAAAGAAACCATTGGATTGATAAAGAAGGATTATAACAATTTTTCTTAGAGAATAAAGACCTAAACAAGGGTAGTGGCCACAGGATTGGAGAACTGTTGCTGAGATAGATTCGACAGAAATAAACAATTGATTGGATATGGAGAAAGAGAGCAATGAATAAAAGATGATGGTAAGGTGTTAAGCCTCA